AGTATTAAAAAATAAACAACACTCTATGGAAGCCTACAGAATTTCCAGCACATCCTACTGACTCCACAAAACAACTACACACTCGGTTCTCAAGATGAGTTAGGAAAGGACTGCAGCCTCCATACTGCTTTGACATTTACTAAGAATCTAAAACTGACAATGTCCCACATCAACACCAGCATGTGTTTCTCAAGTTCAAAGAATGACTAGACAGACATTTCGCTGAAGAACTGCACAGAATCTCAGTGACTTTCTAGGCCCACCAAAGCTCAGTAGCAGCTCCTGCTTCACCGCCCCCACCCCCACTCCCCAGTGCCCTTCTAGAACTACAGGAGCAGGAGCTGTCTGGTGTTAGCCTCACTGGTTTTAAATCCTCGCCCACCACTCAGCTGCTGTATGATCCCAGAATGACCTGGCCTCTCTGAGCCTCTGTTGCTCAAGTACAACATAGGGATCACAGTCCTAATATTGGCTGTGCCGTACAACCTTAGGTCTAAGCAAGTTTCTGACACACAGTAAACACCAAACAAATCACATTCCTTAAAGAAAGCAGCTTGGGTTTTTGTTTGTTCCTGCTCTAGTCCCCAAATTAGAAGCATTTGAAGGCAAGGGCCACATCCAATTCATGATTTTATCTCAAGATGTGGCCCACGCTGGGTCCTCTAGAACAGACAGCCTTGTGGTACCCACAGCTCTGCGAACGCTATTTGACTCTGTTAGTCAGCACTTTTCCCTGGAGTCTCATTCTCCTGGGGCTCACCATCTTCCTGTTCTGCAATCAGCTGGGAGGCACTGTATTTCAAGGCCTTTCAGAGGTAGCCTTGGGGTCACATAGGCAACATACAGGCAGAATCACTCCTCACTTGGTTGGGTTCTCGTCACTGACCACTCATCAATTTTTTCCAATTACCCTTAAACACTCTTGTTCATGGCTGAGTGCTTTCTGGCTTTGGGTAGCACTTATGTGCATGGCCCATATCTACTAACATACTTAGAGAGCCATTTCTGACTCAATTGTCCACAAACCCCAGCAGAATCTAGTGTGAGCTCCTCCACCATCTCCCACCCTCCCATCTCTGCCTATGTATGCAAGTTCTCAGCTTGGTCAGGCAGACAGGCCAGAAAATCCTGAAAACCCAGAGGCATAAAAACTAAGAAAGGCTTGCTGACCTGTTTATGAAACTCTCGGGGTCCCTGAGCCTGGCCTGTGACTGCCATTCACAGACTGCATCCAAATTCAAGGCAGAGGAAACAGATCCTGCCCTTGAACTACCCAGTCCCAACAGTGCTGCCCCACCAGTACTCACGCCTTGACATCTGCTGTCTCCTGGGATGTACGTGTGAGGGTACGGGAACGCAGACGCTCTCCCGCCTGCTGGATCTCCTGTAAGTTCCGCTCCACATGAGGAAGCTCGGAGATGCCCTCAGTCTCGGCGGCAAGCTGTTCAGCTTGCTGAAGAAGCTCGCCAAACCCCTCGGTGTCCATTGGAGATGTAGATTCTAGATGGGAGGAAAAGAAAGAGAGATAAATCAAGGGGGAAAGAGGCCTCCACCACTGCCTCAAGCTGGTACAAGCTTAATAAAACCCCAGAACTTTTTGTAAACAGAAAGGCAGACAGCTCATCAACAAGCAGGATTTGTTCCTGAACATAGCCCAAGAACAGGCTTGACAGAGAAAATGAGTCAGACTGTGAACAGATCATTGCTGTGCATATTGACTGGGCCAAGACTGATTTTTACCACCAGAACAAATGCAAGGATATTACGTCACAGGCTAGAATTCCTGCTTCCTTCTGCAGACTCAAAACAGATAAGGAAACGGAAGCAGCTGTGGTCGTTTCTGGGTGCCTACAGAACAATCCCTCTATACCTCCAACTCCTCCTTTGTCTTAGGGGAGGAGGACACTACCACGCCATCTAAATAGTGCCACAATTTAGAAGGCATGACCTCACAGGAGCCTTATCTCACAGGAGCCTCATGATAACTCCAGTCCATGAAAGCTCAGTTATGTACCCAGCATATGCCCTTGCAGTGATAGTGCTGAACTAAAACCAGAATGCAGGCATCTTCTAAGCTCAGCCTCGTCATTCTAACACAACTGTCTTCACTAATGACATTCTCTTTTTAGTCATACCCCATCTCCACCCCATATTCTTTTTAATGTTATTGAAGGAAGATACCCATGTTTACTTATTAAGTAAACATTCAAGACACCTGACTTGTTACTATACCTATGACTACCAGTTACACTAACACAAACAACACCTAACTTGCACACCATGAACATTATTAACAAGACAACGTGTTTCTCTAACAACTGAGAAAAGTTCCATGAACAGCACTATTTGGTGTAGGGAGATAGCTCAGCGGGTGGGGCACTTGCCCTCAAGCCCGATGACCTGGGTTTGATCCCAGGACTCACATGGTGGAAGGAGAGAACCAACTCCAAAAAAAAAAACCTGTCCTCTGACATGCATGTGCTGCAGCACCCCTCCCCTACAAACACAAAATAAACAGATGTGGAAAAGAAGTAGTGTTGAGCTGGAAAGATGGCTCAGCAGTTAAGAGGAGGTGTTCCAAGCATCTACATCTGGTGGTTCAAAACTGTGACTCCAGCTTCAGGAAGATCAGACACCTGTGACCTTCCTGAGCACCCGCACACACATGCACACAGCCATACACACAGGCTCACATACACATAATTAAAAATAACATAAAGCAGACCAGGCGAGGTGGTACAAATCTTTAATCCCAGCACTCAGGAGGCAGAGGCAGGTAGATCTCTGGCAGCTAACAATTGTCCTTACCTCCAGCTCTAGAGGATCCATCCAGTGCACCCAGCCGCCCTTTAATATTCTCACTAATGACCTCAATCTTAGTCTCTTACAATATTCCTGCTCGTTATATCAAATGTCTGTACATTTGTTTCTGGTATCATTAGCTCATTGGCATCTTTCCTTTTGCTTGTAAAGCATCAGTCACAAACCGAATACGTCTTTTCACTTCCAGGCCTGGTGGCAAGTCCCACCTCGGGGGTCCATTGAATTCTTTAAAGACCACTGGATAGGGCACAGTGAATGCATGCCTGCAATCCCAGTATTTGGGAGGTGAAGGCAGGAAGATGAGGTCAAGGCCAGCCTTGGCTATTGACTATCAACTTGAAAGGATACAGAACCACCTAGGACACAAGCCTCTGTGCACACTTGTGAGAGCTCAACTAGATTAGGTTAATCAAGGTGGGAAGCACCAATCCAAATACGGGTGCTACCATTCCATGGGCTGGGAACCTGAACTAAAGAAAAATAAGAGAACTAGCTGAGTCCAAGTATTCGCTGCTCTCTGCTTCCTGACGATGTCTGCAATGTGACCAGCCATCTCAAGTTCCTGCCATCATGATTTTCCCACCAGTGTAGACTGTACCCTCAAACTAAAGTAAACACTCTCTCCCTTAAGCTGCTTTTGTCAGGGTAGTTATAATGCTAATGTAATATGTAATTAGAGCTCTGCTATGAAGTACATGTTAATGTTAAAAGGACACCATTACCACTATAAATCCACAGCCAAAAGATAAAGACTTTTGGAAGTGAGCATTAAAGGATATTAACTTTAAAAGCAGGGCACAAAGTTCAAACAAAAACAGTTCCATTCAGAGTAAACATGGAAATACTTTGGTATTCTTTGTGAAGTTCTAAGCTGACTTTAATGTTTAACCAAAATTCATATACACTGTAACTCTTAAAACGAGAGTTCCAGGGCTGGAGAAATAACTCAATAGCACTGGCTGTTCTTACAAAGAACCTGGGTTCAGTTCCTAGCACTCACATGGCAGCTAACAATTGTCCTTACCTCCAGTTCTAGAGGATCCATCCAGTGCACCCAGCCGCCCTTTAATAATCTTACTAGTGACCTCAATCTTAGTCTCTTACAATATTCCTACTCGTTATATCAAATGTCTACACATTCGTTTCTGGTATCATTAGCTCATTGGCATCTTTCCTTTTGCTTGTAAAGCATCAGTCACAAACCGAATACGTCTTTTCACTTCCAGGCCTGGTGGCAAGTCCCACCTCGGGGGTCCATTGAATTCTTTAAAGACCACTGGATAGGGCACAGTGAATGCATGCCTGCAATCCCAGTATTTGGGAGGTGAAGGCAGGAAGATGAGGTCAAGGCCAGCCTTGGCTATTGACTATCAACTTGAAAGGATACAGAACCACCTAGGACACAAGCCTCTGTGCACACTTGTGAGAGCTCAACTAGATTAGGTTAATCAAGGTGGGAAGCACCAATCCAAATACGGGTGCTACCATTCCATGGGCTGGGAACCTGAACTAAAGAAAAATAAGAGAACTAGCTGAGTCCAAGTATTCGCTGCTCTCTGCTTCCTGACGATGTCTGCAATGTGACCAGCCATCTCAAGTTCCTGCCATCATGATTTTCCCACCAGTGTAGACTGTACCCTCAAACTAAAGTAAACACTCTCTCCCTTAAGCTGCTTTTGTCAGGGTATTTTAACACAGCAACAGGAAAAATAACTAACACAGCTACACTGTAAGCTTGAGACCAGCATGGGCTACATGAAACCATCTTTAAAAAGCCAAAGCAACCACTGAGACATTCCAGAAATGGTTACTACTCACTAGTTCTCCTCATTCAAGCCTCTGTTTCTCCAGGATACACTCCTGAAGACCAAGAGCCTTCAGAACCTCAAACTGAAAAGAAACAAAGGGAAACATGACATGAAAGGTCTCAGAACCAGCCATTGCCAGCTGGTCTACCAAACCCTTGGTGAACTTCTAGTCTCCTGTGGGCAAAAGTCAGAAAACTTTCTGCAAAGGGACACGTGTTGACTACTTTAGGCTTTGCAGGGCAGCCTGGCCCAGTTCCTCAACCTTGCCACTGTAGCCTGACAGCAGTCATATGTAACATGCAAGCAAATAAGCATGTCTACCATCAAATGAAACTTTAATCGCACATTCCTTAACTTGAATTGCATATAATCTTCCTTTTTGGATTTTTTTTTTCTTTTCTCTCTCTCTCTCTTTTTTTTTTTTTTTTTTTTTTTTTTTGTCTTTTGAGACAGGGTCTCCCTGTAGCACCCAGCTGGCCTGGAACTCGCTATGGAGACCAGCCTGGTCTTGAACTCACAGAGATCCACCTGCCTCTGCCGCCTGAGTGCTGGGATTAAAGGCATGCCCCACCACACCCAGCTCCTTTTGGATTTTTTTCAAGGATTTAAAGAAAAACCCTTCAGAGCTTTTGCCAATCCCTGGTAGATATCTGAGCTGCACATGGTCAGTATTGGCTTGATGCTTACTAAACACCGGACAAAGTTACTCACTAGGCTTTAGCAGGGCAATTACAAGTATCAAATGAGGGATGGGGGTGGAACTTAGTGGTAGAGTGCTTGCTAGCACATACAAGGTCCTGGGTTTGATCAGTAGCAGGAAAAAAAAAGGGGGGGGGGATTAAATATGAAATGAGTGACCTAACAAGACTGGTTGCCATTTCCCTCCTTCTTTTAAACGGTTTATTTGAAGAGTACATATAGGACAAGAAAACTATTGTGTATATGATGAAGTCTGTCCTTTAAATATTGCTCTGCCCTAATACACAGGATGTTGGGGGGAACTCACTGCCCTTTTCAAGTACAACCCAATAGAGTAAACCTATTTGAATGCTCCCTTTGCTTTATCATCAAGATCAAACTGCCCAGTTAGACAAGAAACACAAAGGGCTGAGAAAGGAGAAAGAATACAGGCAGAGCCATCTGTCTCCTCAGTGTTACAGGAATCTGTCTCAGTTCAATGACTTGCACAGGAGATGACATCAAGTACTTTCCCCTGCAGAACATCAACAGAGATGGTCTCCCAATGATGTTGATTTGACAGTTTTTCTACTTGTGAAGTCAATAAGCATTCAGTAGGAATAATATCCTTGGGGTAGCAACATGAGATACGACATGTATCAAAATGCTGGTCAGCCACAGTCACAAAGGGAAACAACAGAAACCCCATTGTTTATTGTTGTGATAACAGTGATAGTCAGTAGGTTAGGAGTACCAGATATAGTCACAAGATGGGGGGAAGCTGAACAAGGACTCACATAGCCCAGGATGGCCTCAAATTTGTTATATGCTAGAAGATGACCTTGAACTCCTGGATTCTTCTGCCTTCACCTCCAGGGGGTGAAGGCACTTGCTAAATGATAGATGAAGTAGCTGCTGGATGAATCCGGTTGATTGGGAGAAAGCACCAGGACACAGAAAAAACTCTATCAGAATAGAGTTTATTAGCAAAGGAACACATGGGGCAGATTCCCTTCCTGGCAGGGAAAATGTCTGCCCTGGGTTGTGAGCTGAGGTCTTTTTATAGGGGGAGGCTTCTGCTTCTCGCAGAAGGCGGGAAGATATAGTTTATTTTAAAGTTGGGGGGCCAGGGGTGGGGGGGAGCTTGGGACTGTTAAAATCTGCCCTTTTTAGAGATCAAAAGGGAAGCCTGCTGTGTTAGCCAAACAGTGGAGAAAAGTCTGCTTCTCTTGACTTCAAAGACCAGGGTGCTTATCAACTTGGTTCCCTTTTCTCAGGGGCTTGTGAGGTCTCTGAGGCCCTGTTGGTGAGGGGGCGGGGCTATCTGAACCTTAACACTAACAAGCCTAAAGATCTGAGTTTGATTCCCAGGCCCCACATGATGGAAGGAAAACTCCCAAAATTTACCCTCAAACTTCCACATGCTTGGCATAGCGCGTGCGCGCGCACACACACACACACACACACACACACACACACACACACAATTAAACTGCTCTTCCCTACTGCTTTTTGTTTTGGCTTGGTTTTGGTTTGGTTTGGTTTTAATGGATAACTTTACATTACTCCAGGATATCCTATAATTCAGTATTTTACTCCGGCTGGCCTTAACCTCATGGAAATCTGGCCTCAGCCTCCTGAGTGTTGGGATTATAGGTGTGAATCGTCATGCCTGGCTCCTTTATTGTTTTGAACATACGAACCATGGTTAGATCACAATCATTCTGTCAGCTGTCAATTACAACCACCAAAAAAGAAAATTACATCTTACCACATACTATTATTTCAGTTGCCTCTGGAAGAGGAGGGAAGGGATGATTTTTGAAAAGGGGGTAGAGGGAGCTGGGGAGATGGTTCAGTAGGTAAAAGTACTGCAGCACTAGCATGACACCTGAGCTCAAATCTCCAGCATTCAGGTAGATACCAGATGCACAGCACGAGTGTCTGTAACAGCATCAGTATCTACACCCCCAGGATTCCTATGAGGAGATGGGAAGCAGAGACAGGAGTGTCTTGAGAAGCTGGCAGTTCAGCTAGCCAGGCCTATGCAGCCTAAAAAACAAAGAGATCTTGAGTCAAGGTAGCAGAGAGGACTGACACCCAAGGTTGTCTTCTGACCTTCACATGTGCTGTCATGGCATGCATGCCCATATTCACATACATCAAAAAGAAAAAGTTGTTGAGGAATTCCTTAGAGTCCCATGAGACTTAGTAAAAAAGATCTACATTTGATCATTAGTTACAAGATAGGCTACTGGAGAAATCAAAGTCAAATCAATTAACCTAGACAGAAAAGAAAGATCTGGATGAGTTAGCAGCAGTATTGCTCGGATGACTCAGTGTTTGCAGTAAGAACTGTGAATCGTCAGCTTCCCTGATATATAAAATGTCCCTTGTATTAATTCATCTCCAAGTAGCAATGAGAAGTGACCCAGCAGCACACAGAAACACAAATTACCTACATAAGAAACTTTCTGGGGAGGTCTTAGCTGTCCAGAGACAGATAGCCCAGTTACAAATAGAGCTGTGGACCCCAGGTGGTTCCATCCCACATCTACCCTCTTACCCTAGGACTGGATTGTCTTGAGTGATATCTAAGGCCCCACCCAAACATATTTGTCTTTAAAATCACCTCTGCTTCCTCAGAAGCAGCAGCTCCACTTGTGCAGAGACAGAAATTCCTTATGGAAATATTCTTAGGAATAATGCTGGCTTTACCTTATAGCTAGCAGAACTAAGTCACCAAAAGGCCTTTGACTATGGTTCTGAGTTTTCTTTCATCCCAAGGACCATGTGATAATATCCTGAGATACTTTTGGTTATCATAATTTGAGGCAGGAGACACATACTACTGCAATGTGGAGGGCAGTGGCCAGAGTTTTAGCTAAACAGCCTATAAACCACAGCACAGCCTCCAACAAAGAATGAATTGACCCAAAATATTAACAGTTCCCAGACCAAGAAACTCTGCTGTAAACTAAGGAAGGGTTCTTGTCCTAAGAAACATGACATCAAATTAGAGACATAGGATCACTTGGAAAAAACAGTTTGCATGTTTAACATAAGAGCACTAAGCTTTTACTAGACCCAAGCAACAGTGTAGGGTACTTCCTCAAGTAATCTTAAATCACTGTATATACACAATGAGCTCATTCGTAGGCAGGCATGGTGGCACATGCCTTTAGTCCCAGTGATCGAGGCAGAGGCGGTGGATTTCTGTGAGATAGAGGCCATTCTGGACTACTTAGCGAGTACCAGGCCAGTTGGGGCTACAAGGAAACTGTCTCAAAAAGAATAAATCTCACTTGTGGTTTTTATAGTGGTATACACACTCTAGTTATTAAATAGCAATGGAGAGTTCAAAGTTCCAGCCTCACCTGGGACTACAGGAAGACCCTGTTTCCAAAAAAATAAAAAGAAAATAAATAAATAGAGAAAGAGAGAGAGAGCAATGGAAATGACCAAATCATAGCCTGGATTATATGCCACAATTCCCTTTCAAAACTGGGGAGGTGGGCAGGCTGTATGAGTCAATACGGATTTTAAAAACAGGAAAAGACTGATCTATGGTGTTGGACACCAGAATGCTGGTTATCTTTAGGGAAGCAAGGGGAGTACTGACTGGAGGGAACATAACACACCTTTCTGGGCACGATGGACTGAATTCTGGTTCTTCAAAATTTTTTTTAAATCCTAATCTCCAATGGAATGGCATAAGGAGATGGGGCCTCTGGAGAGAGTGAGGGTTAAAATAAAATGATGAGTGGTGACGTCAACAGATGTAATTAGTGGCTTTCTATGAAGACACACTCGAGAGCTTGCTTTGTCTTCCCTCACCCGCCCCTCCTCAGGCACATAATTCAAGGAAAGGCCATGTGAGCACGAGCAGCAGATGGCCATCCACAAGATCCTCACCAAAACCCTGCCATATTCCGCCTCCAACTTCCAAACAGTGAGAGAAAAATCACCAAACCCCACCACACTCAACCTCTAATTTCTAAACAGTGAAATAAAAATGGGGGATGGAGTATGATATGTGTGTTGGGGAATGCCATGTCTTGAGGTTTTTGTTTGTTCTGCCTTGTTTTAACAGAATCTTGCCATGTAGCTAAGCTGGCTCTGAACTCACAATACTGGCTCTCAAGTTCTAACTCAGTCTTCTTTGCATCGGCACCTGACCTCAGATTGCTGACTCACAAGTATCCTTCCCTCTCCAAACTCAGACAGTGTAACACAGAGATAAAAATATTTTATTTACTGGGGGAGGGGGGAACCACACACTGCCATGGCATTCATGTGAAGGTCAAAAGACAACTTGTGGGAGTTGGCTCTCTCCTTCTACCATGTGGGTCGCAGGGATCAAACTCAGGTCATCAGGCTTGGCCTTTACCTAATGAGCCATCTTACTGGCCCCAGATAAATTTTTTTAAAAGAAAGTAAGTAGGTAGGTATTCAAAGCCAGT